CAAACGAAAATAATATTAAACACTCAAAAAGTTTGCAGCGGGTTGCACCAAATGATGCATGCCTTAGCTATCCCTAGGCAGCTAAGTTACAACATGGAAAAAACCTGAAAACATAAGCAGAGAAACTAAAAAACAACTAGCTAAAGCACAATAATCACCAAGAACTAATACTAGCTAGCATTACAACAGCAAAGAGCTATTAACCAAAACAGAGATCTTGAGAGCACTAAAATATATATTCCTGGCCACATCCAAACCACTGAACTTAGACTAGTCCCTAGCAGGATGTTAGCAGCAAATGTCTCTCAAGCAAACCAAAAAGCCAAAAATGAGCAGGCTGTTAAGCCTCACTACAATTCACCACTTCATACTCCATCCAATCCCTCCAAGCAGCACGAGCAATTTCATATTCAGATTTCCAAATTTTGTCAAAAATCCACAAATTCCTATCCTTCCACAATCTCCATAGAATATACGAAGAATAGTGGATTCTGTCTTGGAAGTTTAGCCCCTTCTTCATTGTACAGACACTACTCCACCAGGATTTGAATGTCGGAGTGGAGCAGTGCACTCCTTCCCATTTAATACCTGCAAGCTTCCAAACAATGACAGCTCTTTGACAAGTAAAAAAAAAATATGCTCGAGAGTTTCATCAGAATTCCCACAGACCCCACAAATAGAGTCTACATGCATCCCTCTCTCGAGAAGTTGATCTTTTGTAACTACTAAGTATTGAAACCGACACTTCCATAGAAACATCTTTATTTTGTTTTTGATTTTCAACCCCCAAGTTGTTTTCCAGATTTTGGAGTGAACAACTTTGCTTCTGCTTGATTCAGGAAGATTGAGGTTTGCTGATTTACTCTCAAGAATAAGAGTGTAAGCAGACTTAACTGTGAAAATTCCTTGCTTGTGGGGGTGCCATTTGATTGTGTCTTTCTGGCCTTGACTGGACAATGGGATAGCTAATATGAGTTGAGCATCTTCGGGTTTGAAGGTTTGGGCAATCAGCTCAGAGTCCCAAGACCCATCATCTGAGGATATCAGATCACTGACTTTTCGGAGCCTATCCTTGTCGGACTCAAAGGAGACAACATGTGATAGCTTAGGGAGATCTGTAAGCCAAGGGTAACTCCAAATTGAGGTTGACTTACCATTCCCTAATGCAACTCGAGCTCCTTTTCTGAGATGTGTTCTTGTTTTTAACCAAGTGCTCCACATCCAAGAATCGGAGGCTTTGTGTTGTACCTCCCACAAAGAGCAGTTGTTGAAGTATTTGCCCTTCAGGACTTTACTCATCAACAAATCCGGTTGGCTTAAAATTCTCCACAACTATTTTGTAATGAGGGCTTCGTCGAAGGAAATGAGGCACCTGAAGCCCAGACCACCTTCTTCTTTAGGCAGGGCAAGTTTGCTCCATGAAGCCCAGTGGATCTTTGGACTGCCATCTTCATTGCTACCCCACCAAAAGGCTGCAGATAGCCTACATATTTCTTTACATACACATAAAGGCAATACATTTTTCCAAGAGTTAAGCATGCTAACTACATTATTAATAACAAAACTAAAGGCTTCCTTTTTAGAGCTGCCTATGCCGAGGGGTCGACCTAAATACCGAGAGGAATTGGCTTTACAAAAAATAATAGAGTCGTCTGCAAAAAATAGGTGGGTGGTGGCTGGTGAATTTTTACTAATTTGAATGAATAGTTTTTGTAGAGATTAATGTTGTAGGAAACTGTTGGCTAATTCTGAGTTTGACTAAAATTCTTTTATCATCGCACATTGCAATCGAGCAAATTAGATTATGAATAATGTTTATGTGGGCACATGTTAATATATCCACCGTTTATGTGGCACGCACGCATTGGTGATGTTAATATGCCACATAAGCGGTGGGCATATTAACATGTGTCCACCGTGGGTAGCGGAACATTACTAATTAAATTATAAGAAAAACAACATATTAAAATGTATAAATAAACAGGAGATTTTAACGGTCCCGTTACGAATTCATTCCTTTGGAATTTACCGTTAAATCAACTATTCATGACAGTTTCATGATAATCTAAC